AGTGGGTGAGCGTCTGCATGGTGCTTAGTTACCAGCTGGGGTTAAACTGCAACAGAAAAATTCTTTGAAATGTTTCTCTCCTCTCATTCAGCATTATTTTTCCCATCAGTCAGTTAACTGTTTTCATTCAAACTGCAGAGTCCTGGGATAGGATGCCAGCTAAATCTAATATGAAAACAATCTGGAGCTAAATGTCACCTGCACGGAGCTGGCATTTTATTCCAACTCTGTTCCGCAGTCCTCACCATCAGCTTTCTATGGCTGTGAAAGAACAGGTACACAAAATATACGTACAACTGTTGTTCAGCAAAACCCGTTTCAAAGTGATCCTGCTGCAAAAGGGTGCCAAGGGCCTGAGGGCTCCAAGTCCTCTCCTGATCAGAGCAGGAGCTCGCTCCGCCCGGGTCTCTGCCTTCAGAAATGTCTGGGATAACAGTGACACTCTGTGGCCAGCCAGGTAAAATGCAATGTCTCAATTTTCACAGGTTTTCTTTGCTTTCATCCGTTTTACCAGACAGAAAGGTAGTGAAGATCAGTTTGTAGCTTTCATTCTTGTTGATAATTTCCAGTAGCTTTTCAATACATTTCCTTTATTGTTTTAAAATGTCCTAAACATGTCAGCTAAGACAAAAACTAAAAACAAACGACCGAACAAAACCTTGCATCCATAACCCCTGAACCTGAGGAGTGTCGAGAGTGAGACTCCACTGTTCCTCTGCAAGTTGTACGAAGCACGTCAGGTCCGTGCTTACAGTGTCATTTTAATCACTTTAATTAATTTCCTCCTGTGGAACTGGAATGAGGGAAGCCCCTTAAGGGGACCTGGAATTGTATATTGCAAAGCAGAATTTCCTCCGGACTAATCTGGAGAGCTGAGTTTTTGTGGGTACCTCCAAGCTGTAATTTTACTTCCCATAGAATTAAAGAAGATATTACCTATTTTATATTTAGTGCAAATGGGCAGTATGGTTAAGCATCATTAGATGGCCTCTATAGGGCTTCCTCTTGATAGCAACTGAAGGAATAGCAAAAAAAACCCAGTCCTTGTTTCATAGCTTTTGCATTCAACAGATGGAGGAGCAAATACTAGGATATGTGAGAGGATGGAGTAAGAGCCTTTTTTTTGGCACACAGAACATTGATATTTTTGTATGCATACCCATTTTTTGCTCTTTTTTTTTTTTCCTTTTCAGCTGGGAACATTAATGGAAGAATTGAGATTAAGGCATCTTAACCCCCAGCCCAACTCCCCCCAGCTTATATACTGGACATGACATCACATGGTATGCCCTTTGGTCAGTTTGGGTCACTGCCCTGGCTGTGTCCCCTCCCAACTCCTTGTGCCCCTCCAGCCTTCTTGCTGGCTGGGCATGAGAAGCTGAAAAATACTTGACTTAGGCTAAACACTACTTAGCAACAACTGAAAACATCAGTGTGTTATCAACATTCTTCTCATACTGAACCCAAAACACAGCACTATACCAACTACTAGGGAGCCAATTAACTCTATCCCAGCCGAAACCAGAACAATGATTAAACACTGATTTCCAGTGAATTGGTTAGAATTAGACCTACCTGCTTCAGAGCTCGCCCTGTTTTGGTGTATGGCATCACAGCCGTGAAGACAATCTTGACAGCCATGCTGCGAGCGTCATGGTCCAACCATGATGATGTGGTCTCCCTAGGGAACCATCAACTATCGGCTTGTTGTCCAAAGCCTGTGTTTCACGTCCTACTGCAGGTCCCAGAATCATAGAATCATAGAATGGTTTGGGTTAGAAGGGACCTTCAAAGACCATCTAGTCCAACCCCCTGCCATGGGCCAGGACATCTCTCACCAGATCAGGTTGCTCAAAGCCCCATCCAAGCTGACTTTGAACGCTTCCAATGATGGAGCATTCACGACGTCTCTGGGAAACCTGTGCCAGGGTCTCACCACCCTTATTGTAAAAAAATTCCTCCTTATGTCCAATCTAAACCTACCCTCTTTCAGTTTAAAGGCTCTTTCTTCCTCCTGTCTGCGTCCCATGGAGTGAGGGCAAAGTGCTTTGACAGTGAATGTAGTGTTTGGGACAAAATTCCAGTTACTGGAATATTTAGGGCATGGGGAGGAGGGAGGATTCGCTCCTACAGTACTAGTCCTGATTATTGCTCTTTGTGACAAATAGCTAGGGAACAGGGGAATGCATGCCTAACAAACAGCAAACAAATACTTTGACTGAAATTCTCTGAAATTGTACATGGAATTAGCAACCACTGCCTTTGCTCCTGTGAATTCAGAGACATGAAACACGAGGCAAGAATATTTGTTCCGCCCATGGAAGACATAGCTGGGGTAGGGGTTCTCCTCATCTCTAAACACAATTTCTGAAATATTTAGCAGATGGCCTTTCTGCTCTGGCCATAGACTCACTCAGAGCTCATCTCGGCTGCTTTTACTTTCTATTCCTTCATTCTTTCTTAAACAGACTTGCAGTTGCTCCCATGTATTATTTATTGGACATACTATGCTTTTATAACATAGCTGTGGGTGGAACAGACTCTGTAGGCACAGTTTGCACCCCATATTTGGAATAACTGGCAGGAAGAAAGAAAACAGGCTGCAGTTCAATACATAGGGTATGAGAATGTAAAAAAAAATAAAATAGAGAGAGCTGCCTCTATTTGCCCACGAATTACTCTCTTCTGTGCCACAGAAAACCCAAAAACAATCTTCAGTAAAACTGTACCCTAGCTGCATTCTTTATTCTGGCTTTATTTCTTCTTTTTTTTTTTTTTTTTTTTTTTTTTTACAGAAGCAGCCTACTTCTGTAGCATGTTAGAGAGGCATGCAATAAGGACTCCATCAGATCATATTTCAAATACTCAATTATTCATCGGATGGTAGAATCTCCACGCTTGCTTCCTGTATCTATATTTTAGTTTACTTAAAAGAAATTTCAGTACTATGAATGTCTGGTCAGGTAAGACAGATGTGTACTACAGCTTCCTTCCAAGCCTCAGAGAAGACGAGCAGTAGCAATACAGGAGAAACATGAAAAGATCAAGAGACAAATCACTCGACCCACTGGCACATCAAAAAATACCAGCTACATTGATCTTACAGTATCATGCAATATGGGGAGGAAGGTTTTCCCCAAATGGAGAACAAGCAGATTAAGGAGCCAGAAAACTATTTAACTTATTTTTAAAGACAAAGAACTCAGACAAATGGATAACCCTCAGGCAGCAGCATGCGCTGCAGAGTGTGCAAACAGTTCCCTGAAGGATCAGGGTTTGCGGCACATCATAGTTCTCTTTTTTCATTCTCATCTGGAGACCTTCCTGCGCCTTTTCCACTTATAGACTGGTTTCAGAAAAGATCACATGTGAACATATACTGCATGATTTATCACATGCGTGGCGGTGCATTTATACTGTTAGATTAACTCTGCAACAACTGCTGTAAATAAGCTTTAGCTTTTGCATTAACATAAAGCCTGACCATAGCAACACATCTTACATATCCACAAGCTGCACAAAGCTTGTGGATGCTCTTGGTGCCCACCAGCTCAGTGGGTTAACTATGGGAGAGACACGTACCACAGAAATATCTTGCAAAACACGGTCTGTAGGACGCCTTGCAATCCCATGCAGCCTGTCTGGGCTGGACTCCTTCTTTTGTTTTGTTTCTCATTCATCTTCCTTTCCTTAAAAGATGGAAAAGTGGCACATCTTGTCCCCCAGGGTAAGAAATATGCCTCTGGTTGGCCACCAGTGACCCGGTCACCGACCAGGTCCAAACTTTATCCCCAGCAATGGTGGCTTGCGACACGAAGGCATCATGTGGAGATCATCGCTGGCGAAACTGCATCTCCCACGGACACGTGGAAGTCCCCCGCCGTCCCAGGGAAGCACAGATGAATCACATTTCCTTCTTCATCCTCAAGCAAAGGTGGCTGGAGAGCAGCTCCGTGTCAACACCGCGTTGTGAGATTTACAGCTGCTTGCAGTTCAGCATGCCTCTGAGCAACCTTTTAGGAGCAAAACCCAACCAATAAAGAAGGTAAATACCAGCTTTGCTGGGACTCTGCCTGGCTACCATCAGCCACTCTTGCACAAGTGACTCTGGGAGCTGTTTCAGCAGCACATTTTTGCCTCTGGCATGTAAAGTTCAAGTGGTGCTGTCTTGTTAAACATTGTTCCTTTCTTCTAAGGGATGTTTTTACACCCTCAGCCACAGAGGACTGACTTTGCCTTGCTTACGAAAGCTAAAATGTAGTAAATACCTTGATGTAAAGAATTTTATAGATTTTCACCCCAGGGGAGGCATTTTGACTAGCTGTATTTCAATGAGACATTAAAAAAAAACAGGCTTGTGTGCATTTTTTTAAATTGCTGTCATTACCATCTGCGCAACAGGTAGTGAAAGCTGATGCTGCGGAGACTTGGTTTGTACTTTTTGACATAAGACTGGCAGAAAAATTGGCAGTTATCTTGTTGCTCATGTTTAAATCCACACCCTTGTACTGTGATTCAGCAAATTCCCAGAGTAACCCTGGTCTGAAACCCGGGTTCCTCCTTGTTCTGTCCTGCCGGGGGTGGATTTCCCCTAGAGAAGCCAATGAACAAAAGCTCATTTATTTCTGTAGGTGGTGAGGAGGAAACTCTCCACTATCTCCCCACCTCTTCCTGCAAAATGTTGGCTCTCTTTTGCACCGATCACTTCAGGTCGCGAATGAAAATGGAAGCGAGCAGCAGCGGAGCTGGGGTATAGAAATTGTTGTTTGGAACGGCACTCCCTGGCTCTGCTCCACGCTTCATAAATAATAGCTCTCACCTCATTTTAGCTACAAAGAGAAGCAAAAGCAAGCTGCCTCTGTCTTTCTTCAGCAAACCTCAGGTGCTCTCTCGGAGAGGTAGGACTGATAACTCTGTTCTTAGCTGATATTATCGAAGAAATACGCTTGCTTTCTTTTTTCGGCTGCAGGTTTTTTTGCCACGGTTGCGGCAGCATCTTGATGGGGAAGCTGATCTCCAAAGGCCAGCCCAAAAGAGATGCTCGAGTTGTCATGCTGGGGCTCGACTTCGCCGGCAAATCCACCCTTCTGTACAAACTGAAGAGCGGCCGGGCTGTGGAGACCTGCCCGACGGTGGGCTTCAATGTGGAGTCTCTCCAAACACCCTGTCGCGTATCCTTCACCCTCTGGGACGTCGGCGGACAAGGCAGCCTGCGGGCGAGCTGGCCTGACTACCTGGAGGACACCAACATCCTCATCTTCGTGCTCGACAGCACGGACACGGCTCGGCTGCCCGAAGCGATGGCAGCACTGGAGGAAGTCCTGAGCCACCCCAGCATGGCCGGCATCCCCGTCCTCCTCCTGGCCAACAAGCAGGAGATGCCGGGAGCGTTGGCTCCCGCCGAGCTGGGGGAGAAGCTGCGGCGGGGGCGGCTGGCGAGGCACCCTTGGGTGCTCCGGGGTTGCAGTGCCCACACCGGCCAGGGACTGCAGGAAGCCCTGGCCGTCCTGGGAGAGCTGCTGCGGGTCTGGAGCGGAGCTCCCCATCCCAAGAGCAGCCCCTCGCAGGGCCAGCGGGGAGGAGGCGAGCTCCGGAGCAAAGCTGAACCTCGGGTGGACGCTTCCCGCTCGTCGCTGCCGGCAGGTTTGCTGTAGAGGATCCCAGCCTCCGGGTATCCCCTGAAATGAGCAGACCTGTGGCCGGCACGTGCCATGGAACACCCAGCTGAAACCCACCAGGAAGACCTCCGAGCAAAACTCCCATTGTGGAGCGCTTTTGGCCCCGTCTCTTGGACTCTCATCACCGGCTGTGGCTTGTCCCGCTGTCGCCAGGTTCTGCTCATCCATTGCGTGCGTGTCCGGTGCTTCAGCGGGGATGCTTTTTGCCAGAGCAACATAAATTATAACAGAGATGTGCACAAGGGACAGAAGAGGTTTTCTTCTTTCTGCAGCTCCCAGCCCAGGTGCAGCTATCCTGATGGGGTGATCCCTGTGGCGGGGGGGTGTTTGAATGCGCCCCGTGCTGCTTCTCTCTCAGTTCAAATCACACGTTCATCAGGTGGAAAAGCAGGCAGCCACTAAAAGGAATGGCTGAACAGAAGCAGCGTAAGCACAGGACTTTGAATGGGCAACAGCTAATTCGTTTTAGTGTGTCTGCTACGGGTATAATCTTCAAGCCATGGAAGCAAGTCAGGATTCAATGGTGTAATGTGGTTCAAGGATGTGTGTATATTAATTTCTGCATTTCTTGTTTTGGGTCTTTCTTTTCCATTCATTATTTTTATCAAATACTGCTTTCATGAAACTGGCACCTCATTTTCCTTGGGTTATATTTAAATACAGAGAAATAAAATCTGGCTTCTAGATGCTTGGAAACACATCTGCATGGCCAGTCAACCTCTAAATATCCTCGTGGTGGCCTGAACAGGCAGGATGAAGCCCTGTCTCTCAGACTTTTTGAAACTGGATGAGACCACTCTATGGGCACAGGCAGGTTTGTAACCAAAGGGCTCTCCACACTCAGCTGCACCCAGGGCAGTCAAAATGCCCCTGGCAGCTCGCAACGGGGCCAGGTCCTTTGTTGCAGTGATGGTCTTTTTCCGATCCTGCTGAACCTACCATTGGAAAGACCTATAAAATGTGTACCTGCGGGCTCCCTGTATCCAAAATTCTGTTATTTGGGGTTAAAATTAAGAAATTTCATAGGGGTCCCTACTTTATTATGAAATGAATGGAAGTGGTGGGGGAAGGCGAGAGAAAGGACACAAAATTTTCAGGCAGCAGAAGTCAGCTGCTTTCAAGGAAGAACTTATTCAACCTAGAAACACCAAGGAGAAATACATGGCGAAATCCCCTTGTGTTCATACCAGAGCATTTTACAGTTGTTACGGAATTAATCATCCAGCTGTTACTGGTGCTGTTATTAGCCTCATTTCATAGAAGGCAGCAGCTGGAAAACAAGGCTTAAACAGTCGTGAAGAAACAGAATATGACATTTATAGGAAGGTCTCAATAAAAGAAAGCCTTCCTGGTGGAAAAAGTCACATTTTTTTATCTGCGTTAATATAGAAGAACTATTATATGCTATAAAATAGTAGTCCAGCGTTGATCTGGCCTAAGTGATCATGGTTATGAGTATACTTAAACAGCACTGAAATGTATAACAAATTATATGGCAAAGCTGCGTGCATGGTAAGGAGGGCAAAATCACATCTTTAAATCTTTGCAGTTACCGTAAGCAGGTTGATCTGCCTTTGGCTGGTTGTAGGTGCTCATCGTTTGCTTCTAACACACAAGTCTCCAATGCATGTGTTGGGTATTTGACTGTCAGAGGTGGACCAAGAGTTTTTGTGAGACAGCAGCACATGTGCTAGTACCTAGACAGCGATGAACGAACTCAGGTCATCTATGCAACCCAGTCACCAGTACATGAAAAATCCACGTCTTCTAGGGGGCCCGTCTGGCCATTTTGAACACCAGTCCTAGAGGCACAATGCAAAAGGTTCTGTGTTGCATTGCCATGCCAAAAAAATTCTCCTTATTGCACAGACTGAAGGGTTGTCCTGATGATGTTTTACTCTTAATTGGCTCTTGATGCGTGCATTTGACTCTACAGGATTGTCGTCTGGTGGTTAAAAAAGGCACTGAAGCTATCCCATTCCCCCGTGGGTGTTTTTTAAGCCCTTCAAAGAGAAAAAATAGGCTCCTCTGGCAGCAAATAGAGGTAACCACCAGCCTTTTGTAGATACCAGCAATTAAAAATTAAAATAGCGAGGTAGAAGGTGGGGAAGAAGGGGTTGTTCTTGGCAGTGGGAACCCTGAATGCCTGAAACTGATGAAGCAACATCCCGGTTACTGAAAGCATTCTCACTTCCCCTGAAGCAGTAATTTGGCAAAATACCCCATCTCATGGGGTGTCATGTGATTTACCATCCTTGTTTTCTGGAATAAGGCTTTTCTAGATGCTCAGTCACATTACTCAGCTCATTTATGCCATTGTTAGAGACTGTCAAAAATGACTCCGGGTCATAGTATTTGAAACAGCAACACAGAGTTTACTTCTGATTATTTTCTCTTTTCTCCTGTGTTGTAAAGCATGTTAAAACAAGTCAATCTAATGTGCCCTGCACTGCTCTAATCAAATGTTTGCAGGATACTCACCCAACAGCACTTAAACACTTCAGTGTCAAAACTCCTGCCTGGTTCAAAGGGAGCAGTCTGGAGGTTTGCAGGAACAAGCCAGCTCTAGGGAGGGCAGTTTGTTATCTCTTTTTCTTGGTAATTCTGCAAGAGAGCCTCTGCCACGTGGAGCCATATTAATCCCTTAAACATCTGCGCTTACGGACTCCAGCCAGGAGGGCACCCTCAAACTTACAGTTTCCATCTTCTTGAGCGTGTGATAGATGTCACAGCCTCTGCACCCATTTCTAAAATAACACAGCTTCTCTCTTAGTAGCAGGCAAAAGAAAAATCCTTTGGACACTTCCTTGTTTCAGGTTCCTCACAAATTTGAAGCATCCTTCAGGTTATTGGCGCCAGAGCCTACGCTGATTGCTCAAGATCCCTTTTTAGCAGCTTTTCTGGATGCTAAGTCCATCCACTTGCTATCCCTGACATTGGCTGTCTCAAAGCCAAAAGGAGAAGTTTGGAACAGCAGGCTGTTTCTCTTCTATTTCCTTTTTGTTTTGTTTTGTTTCAGCAACAAGTATTTATTTGGGTCATTTTATAAAGGAAAAGTATTGCCGAGGGACCCGTCTGGGGAGCAAACTTCCAAAAAACCTTGAAGACAGCGAGATGCCCACGCTGCAGAAATTGCTGCAGAAGCACGCACCGGTCTGTCTGCAGCCATAAGTGAAACGCCATGCCCAAGAACTGTTGTTGCTCAGGCTGAAATGCATTTAATCTGCAGCGGAGCATGCAGAAAAAAGCCTGCAATGTCCCCAGTATACTTTTTTAAAACTAAGGTTGGAAAAGACCAGCTCCTATGTTCCTTTAAAAACTCGTATGCTGCTCAAGAAAGCCGTACCATGACTGCATTTGAAAATGAAGCTGCTCGTGCTGCTGCAGTGGCAGCTGGAGATCTCTGGGTCTAAGCCAGCAGCACAGACCAGACCTGCCCGTCGCTGCCGTCTGCGGCAGGGTAACGCGTACACCAACCAGAATCAGGAAAGCGCGAAGATGCTCCAGTTCGTAACTCCGCACCTTAACACGAGGGGATTTTCCTGAAGCACTCTAAGTAAGGTACCACGCCGAAGCAGACCCGAGCAGCTCAGGCGGTTCCAGCTCACCCTGCCCGCGCTGCTGTGGAGTTGGAAGCGGCAACGTGACAAACCCCTGCGGCAAAATCTCCCAAGGCTTTGCCTGTTGGAGCCCACAGTTTTCTGTTTGGTTTTGGGTTTTTTTTTTGTGTCCTTTTCTTCCTGAAAAGTGCTTTCTAATGGCTTGGCATAATTTGTTGTCCTACATATGTTTGAATAGAAACATAATCATGCCACAAAAGGGATTCTTTTTCATGCAACAAAATAGAAGGAACACAATGCAACTAGGCTGCTTTGGTAGAAATGACTAGTTTGAAACACACTCAGAATCCAGAGGACATTATAGATCTGATTAAAACAATAAAACTGGCCTGAACTATCATTCAGTCCACTGAGATTTAAAAAAAAATATTAAAAAATATGCCTGTCAGTGGATCTTCTTACTCATTTCTCTGTTTAGCAGATCAAGCGAGCAAAATGCAAGTGTCTGTATTTTTAGAAGTATGGGGAACATTAAGATGTCCTCTAGGTTTTATTATTTCTAAATAAGATATCTCTTAAAATAATGCATTATTTATTCAGTGTATTGCCTTTCAAGTCATCTAGGTTGATGACAGGTTGCAAAAAACCAACACAACTCAAGAGTTTCATTTTGTCAACTGAAAGCTGAAGGAACCAGCCTTTGGAAATGGGAGTTGCGTTCTTTTGAAATCTTTATCCTTTATATCCCCATGGACGAGCATTCGTAAAGATTTAAATATGGCACTGGAAGCTCATCTCCATCACCAACCTACCCACGTAGCCAGAGTTGCAGGCACCCTTCAAGCAGTTCAAGAGGTTTTCCTCCATGGGTGCTGTCACGTAATTAAAGCAGGACTGTGCTAATTAGGAGGCTGCTGAACAACGCAAGTCTCTGACAGCTCCAGTCTATCCCCAAGTGGCACCCCAGTGGGGTTGCTTGTGCCCGAGGTGAGGGACGCTGGCCATCACTCCCAGTCTCCTGCCTAAAGACGCTCTTGGTGCACACACTGCCCCCCGCAACGCACACCAGGCAGAGGGAGCTGGGCCAGCTTGTACAGCACTCTGAGCTTAAAATTAGCACTGAATCGGCAATCAGCCCAGCACTGGGAGCCTGGAATAGACATTTCTGGAGGTAGAAAAAAAAACCCCAACTGTGAAAGTTCCTTGACTCCATGGTGCACCTTTGAACCTTTAAACTGAAGTCACTGTTTAAAAGTTACATGGATCAGCTGCAGCCCACTTACCACAGCCGCCGGTACACAGTTGGGAAACGTCTTCTTACAAAGTATAAAACTCCGTACTGGAACAGCATCCCAAGTTTCAGAGATGACTGCATTAGCTTACTTTATTCATTCTCATAACATACTTCAAACTTTG